GAGCCTCCTCCGGGGGAGCGGGGAGGGCTCGGAGCGGGGGGAGGCCGGCAGCGAGTGCGGCGGCTGCGAGCGAGGAGCTGAGGCGGCCCCGGCCCTGCCTCCCGCCCCTCACCCCCCGCATCCTCCCGCCTCCCCTTCACTCTTCCTCCGCCCTCCCCCCCGGGGGTGCGCACCGGGAACTGGGGAGCCCCGAACCGCCCCCCCGCCAGCCCCGGGCTGCTGGAGAGGGCTGGGCTAGCCCGGGGGCCGCGGGAAAGGTTTTTGCAATGAGCAGAGCCCTGCTTATAGGTACCGCTATAGGTACTGCCTGTAGGTGCTTTAGGGGGATTTCGGAGGCCTGGGGCTAATTACAAAGAGATATTAATTAGGAAGAAAGCTCTGGTAATTTATAATGTCATTTAGGACATGAATTTTGCAGGGACAGGGTCCTTCCCACTCTGAAAATGGTTTTGGCATAAGAGGGAAAGACGGGGTCAGCATAAGCTGTCCCATGGATGGATGCACAGACAGAAGAATAGATAGAGGGTCAGAAAGACAGACGGATAAATGACAGACCGAAGGTGGATGGATGGATGGATGGACGGATGGATGGATGGATGGATGGATGGATGGATGGATGGACGGATGGACGGACATACAGACGGCAGCTGTGGCTAGCAGAACTCAGCAATCCCACAGCTTTTTGGGTAAACAAGTGTGTGTGGGGGGTGTCTCTGCTCCCCAGCATAACCAGGGGGTGGAAGCAGAGGATGAGGAGAACCAGAGCGTGGGACAGTGGGAACATCTGTCCCGAGAGAGGACGTGTGTCCCTCAGGCAGGGTGCTCCAGGCAAGGACACCGCGGGTGTCCCCACCCCTCCTGAGCTGGGTGAGCTGGCCAAGGCTGCAGGAAACATCACAGGGATTTGCTGTTATCGGGTTTTCTTGCAGGAGCACCAAGGCAGGGGGCGGGGGACACAGTAGGTGCCCCCTCCCACCGAGCAGGGCACAGCCCGGGGGGGACCGGCCCTCGCTGGTCTCTCCCCACCCGGAGTGTGGGAGGATGGCGGCAGCAGGGGGAGGAGAGGCACCGTCCCTGCTCACACGCCGTGGCTGCAACGCGCCGGGCTGTGAATTACAATCTTCTCGCGGTCAATAAATGCTGCGCTGTATAAATCCGCGCGCGGGGCCGGCGGGATGCACTGCTGCTGCTCACGCCAGAGGAAATTAGAGACAAAACCGGCTGCGCCTCCTCAGCCGCCCTTCTGCTGGGAGCAGGGCTGAGCGAAGGGTCTCCCGCAAATTCATCGCAGGGAGGAAAACAAGCCAGGTGGAAATTTCCATCTTTTCTCCTTGGCTGAAATAGCCGGAGTTTGGCTCAGAGCAAACCAGACTGCTGCACTGAGCTCTGTGCGGAGCCAGGCGCTCAGCTTTCCCCGCTCCTGCCTTGGCTGAGCCCCTGCACAGCTCAGTGCACTAGTGCAAGGGGGGATTTTTTCTAGCTACTTGTTTTGGCTGGGTTGGTTCAGCTCAAATTTGATAGCGGCATCATAATATCTCAAAGAACCTCACTCCTCTTGGGGGTACATCCCCTTGCCCTACACCAGAGCCCGTCACCCCCTGCCAGGTACCTTGGAAATTTAGGAAAAGGGGGTGACTGTGGTGGGGGTTCCCCATCCCCATCTGCTGCTGGTTGGCACCCAGACGGTGTGAATGCTCTACAAAAAGAGCAGGACGAGCTGAAGCATATGTGCGCTCGCCTTTTCACGGCTTGCCGGAGAGGCCCTGCTGCCTTGGCGCTCGCCAGGCAGCATTACTCACTGTTTTCCACAGGGATTTTCCCCATGAGCCATTTCTCCCCATCCCAAAGCCCCAGGTACGGAGCTGGGAAGGTCCTTTAAAAGTGACCGAGCTCAAGGGAGCATCTCAGCTCCCAAATGCACTTGGTGCTCTCTGAGCCGTGGGGAGATGCTGTGACCAAACACCTCGTGGCAAATAAGAAGCCCCTGACCTTTACCACCCTGTCTAAAATCACATGATCTCTTGATCCCTGTTTTGGGGGGCAAGGGGGTTCCCTTGCTGCTATTCCTGCTGTGGGTGCTGGGGTAGCCAAAGAAACGGCTACAGCTCCCTGGGGGAGCACAGGGAGATGAATCCATCATGGTGAACATCTCTGAGTGCTTTCCCCATCCCCAAAGGCAGTGTTAGACCCAAACAACACCGTCCCTCCTCCCAAAGTGCCCAAGGTGCCCCCGAGCATGGGCAGGCTGAGCTGCCTCTGCCTGATGGGGCATGGGGGGGATGGCAGTCCTCTGAGCTGAGCTCTCCCTGAGTTTTGCTGGGCTCTTCAATTTTTTAAGCTGGCCCTGAATAATTCAGATCTGATGTAGTTGGCTCAAGGTTGGTGAGCTTGGATGCTCCTTGAGTTTCTGCTTGACCCACTTTAATAGCCAGGAAAACCTGCCAGGCACGATGCTGGCCCAGCCACCCTGGTCCCCACGGCAGGAGAGACATCCATCCCCGCCCCCCAGGTCCATCCTGGGGTCTCCCCCTGCACCCTCACATCCAACAACATGGATCACAGCGCATCCCTCACACACACCACAGTTTTTGAGAGGTTTTTTGCCTTCTCTTGCCTCTTCCCACTGTCCCATGGCCCCTGACACGAGTGGGTGCATCCCAGCAGCATCCACCAGATTACGAGGAGGGATTTGCTCTGCTCCATGAACCACCTAACACCCTGCAGCCACCTTGCCATGGCTCCTTGCTAGTCAGAGCCTCTCCTCGCTTTCCTGGAGCCTGGTAGAATACTGATTAATCCTGCCAGGTGGAATAAGACGCTGCTGATTCATTTGGCTTAGAGACGTCAGATTAGGACAGTCTCCAGAAAATCCCTCTATTGCAGTTTTTTCTTGTCTCTCCAGCAGAGTCTGGTTTTATTAATCATTGCTGTTATGGAGGTGAGAAGGAGGAGAGACCTTTCAGGTCTCAGGTCTCTCATCCCCACTACACTGCCAGAAACCTCAAGCCATGGCTTTAAACCTTTGAGGGCCATGGGAAGGGGCTGTCCCTGTTGTCCCCATCCCTGTGGGCACAACCATGAGCCATCCCTTGGATAAGGAACAGCAGAACCGGGCTCCTTAACCAAGCCATGGGTGTCCCATGGCCAATGCCCTGTCCCCTCTGCACTGCCGGGCTGGGTGACGCCGTACCTGTGAGCCCCTCCCTTCCCACACCCCCACACTCAGTGCTCCCAGGAACACTGTGCATCCATCTCTTGCGCTTCACAGGAAGGGGAGGCCATTCCCAAGCCTGCAGTCCCCTCTTGAAAAAGCTCCTTTAAATAGCATCACAGCCTTCATGTCCTTCCCTGGGGTCTGCTCCCAGCGCCAGCCGAGCGTGCTGTGCCGGCACTGGGAGCATCCGCCGCAGCACCGGCT